ATATCTGATGGTCAAAATTATAAGGCTAGGATTATTAATAATGCTGGATTCAGACTAGCGCGATAACGCGAAACGCGATGCGCGATATCCAATAAGTTTATAGTTTTTTCGAAAAAAGCTGTACACTCGCATATCGCGCATCGCGTGTCGTGTCATCGCGCTGGTCTAAATCCAGCATAAAACGGTGTATTATATCAAAGAGAAGCCTGAGAGCGACCACGGTCGCGAATTTACTTATTAGGACCGTGGCACATAGAAAAACTTAAACAGTAAGATCTAAGCAGTAAGCGAATTAGCCAATCATAGTCGATAACGTAGTAACATAAGCAGGGGGTCGATGTAGCTTTCCTAGGATGGAAACGTGAAAAGTTTCATGTAAACTTTACGATCATATACGATTTTGCGGGATCATGTAACTCTCTCAAACGTGAAAATGTGAAATTTTTCATGTAAACTTTTTAGCCATGTACTTTGGTGGCGGAAAGGCGGAAATCTAGGGAATTAATAAATATGCTTCGGAATTAGAGAAGATTAGGGCTGCGTTAGGATTAAATATATGTAGACATATACAATTGGTTATTAAAAGATGTATATAATATTATACCAATAAAATAATTTTCATTAGCTATAAAACCTATAACCTATGTTTCATGATTTCACTTTCCACGCATCCAAGCTACATACATAATCGCTGTACGTGAAAAGTTTCATATGAAATGTCAAAGTGTGAAAAATGAAAAGTAAAAAGTGAAAAATGAAAAGTGAAAAATTTCACGTAAAGATACATGATTGATCCCCAGTAGCAAACTCATAAAGCCTAGTCTATAATGACATAACATAAGGCTATAAGGCTGTAAGGCGTGATTGTAAGAACCTATTTAAATGAATTATTTTCATTTCTTATGCTTAACAACGTATACAGCACAATTATACCGTGACGTAAGTTAAACATGACGTTGTTAAGCATAAGAAATAAAAATAATTCATTTAAGTAGGTTTTTACAACCACGCCTTACAGCTTTATAGCCTCATGTTATATCATTGTAGACTAGGCTTAATGATATGTATATAATGATTGATTTCCTTACTGCTTAAGTTTTTTTATGTGCTACGGCCCTTATCTTATTTTGAAGCGCCGAAACGTGGATATTGAACTATATAATCATGTCCACGAAATTGGTCAATAGGTAACACGCCTATGTCCATAATTTTGTGGTTTTGTTCCGTACTATGTCCATGATTTTGTGATTTTGTTCCATGCTATATCCACGAAATTGGTCGATAGGTAACACGGCTATGTTCACGATTTTGTGATTCTGTTCCGTGCTATATTCACGAAATGTCGATACAAATATTCAACAAATATGTAAAAC